TAATATATAATGCAGAAAAGCAAAAGCAAATAAAAATAATTTTTAAACTTAACTTAAACTTAAGGTACTATAATGATAAAATATATGAAGAATGAATAAAAAAAGTGAATGTTTTTATATGTATAATTAAAGAAAAATAATGAAAATTATTATTATTGTTATTATTATTTGTAATATATACAGCAAAAACACAAAATTTTACCACGCAAGCGCTATATAAAAATACAAACAATGCATATAGCAACGTTTTCAGATTATTTCTAAAAAAAATGTGATTTTGTAAAATAACTTTATTATAGTTGAATTTGGCATAAAATAAAATTCCCTTCAATTTTTATTCTTAAGAAAAATTTAAATTATGTAAAAATAATAATGGGGAGTGAGGGTAAAGTCTCGTCGCAGTCTTTTTCGGACAGCGACAGATGTTGCACACAAGGCCTGCTTAAGGAGCCAAGCTGAGAAACCTTAACTTGTGAATAATCTTGTGTACTTTGGAGACGGAAGCGGTCCATCAGAAGCTCCTGGCTTATTAGGTAGTATCCTAGGATCGTCTTCAGGTATCAGGATGGGTATTCACCGAGATCAGCATTGGATTTTCTGTTCTCTTGCCGATAAAAGGCGAAGATCATCGGGGTCAATTAATATATCTGAGTCGGCCGTAATCGGTAAGAATCGGGTAACAGGTCGGCCGAACTCGGATTCTGAGGCTGATTCCGCCAGAAATGATTTTGCCGAATGGGCTCGATGATTCTGTGGATACGTTCGGTGACGGTAGCGGGGCCAGCGGCGGGGGCCCAACGCGTGGACTATTATATTACACGTGTTGTCCACGTGAATTTTTGCACTGTTCGAATTTAATTGTAGCGTCCGTTGATCGACGCGAATTGTCTGACAGTGGAATCGCGGAGAATCACCGTGTCGGTACTCCGATAGATAATTGGTCGAGGAAAGAAAAATACAATTTTACGCCGTTTTTCGTTATTGCTGGGTTCATTTACCAGTAGACAAGACAGTACTCATGGAAGACATAAAAAGTTTTAAACCCAGTAAAATATCCATATGCTGAAAAAGGATTTTAATTAGTTAGGATTTAATTAGTAAAGGATTTTAATACAGATTAAATATTGTTTTTAGAATAACTTACAGAAAAATATGATCGTATTCCATTGCCAGATTTGTTGTTATGATCTTTTACAGCTTTATATGTTCGTTTTAACTCTGAAAATTTAGATAAACATTGTATTTCTGTAATTTTATATCCATGTTTTATTTCAATTTTATATCCATTTCCGCAATTAAAGACCATATTTTTTTTTTAAATATTTTTCCCGTTACAAAGTCATTTTGTCTTAAATTGTATTCTTCTAGCAATAGAAGTATAACTTCATGTGGTCATTTGAAAACTATAAAAATAAATCTATTCAAAAAAAGAAATTATAAAGTTAAGAAAAAAATTATTAAAGTACCTCCAATTTCTTCATTTGAAATATTCTGTGCTTCGTGTATTTCCATGGAAATTCTACAGTGTCTCGTATATCTCATCGGTACAACAATTGTCACCTAAATAAAAGAATTATAGTTGTAAAATAAATATTATATAACATAACTAATATACAAACTTACATATACTTTTGTTTTACTTACCATTATTAGTTTCCATGGAAGATTGACGGTTTTAATTGAATGAGGATTTTAATTCAAAGGTATTATGATGTGTTGTTGTGCAAAATCTGGATCTGTAACGAAAAATCCTATATATAAAATATGTAAAAATACGTTTTTAGATACAAATAAAATGGGAACATCCCGTTTGACGCGTTTTGATCACAGCTATTCACAACGGTTGATAAAGCATTTCAAACTCTATTCAAATGCTGAATGGCTGATTAATTGCAACGTGGTCAAATAGTTCCCACCCAATAAAATTATACAGTCAATTTGTATATATAAATTTAATAAGATTAATGAAATATTACACTACTTAATTTACCTCTTCGAAGTCTTAGATGAGTATAAGAAGTTTCTATGATCTTATATTACACCATCAATTATATATTATAGAATTGTCAATATGCAGATATCCGGTAATTTGAGTATAACCGTAAAACCGTAGGGTATAACATGGTAAAAGTAAAAGTAATCGTAAAATACAACTAAATATGATTTTATTTTATTTTCAATTTTAGATAAAAAATATTGCATTACCCGGATACCCGAGTATATCGAGTATTTCCCGGAATGTTGTGTACTATCCGTGTATTGAATAAAGTTAAAAAATGGAGTCTAATCGAATATATTATCTTTTACTTTAAGGAAATACAGTCTAAGTGGTACATATCTCTATATCTTCTTAGATTGAAGAATCTCTTTACTCTAACCCATGTGGTAGCACTTTTAATTTAAAAAAAAATTATGTTACAAAATTATTTCTTTACTCTAACCAATGTGGTAGTAGTTTTAATTCTTAAAAAAAAATTATGTTACGAAATTACCATACCTAACTCAATTCTAGTTGATTAAACTAAAAAATAAAATCTAAGTGCTAGTATCTTTGTATTTTCATTGGTCTTCCTATTCTAACCCAAGTGGTACTAGCTTTAATTAAAAAAAAATTATTTCCGCATTGCCAACTCAACTCAAATGATATCATTTGTATAAAAGTTTTGATATCAATAACTGTGCCAAGTTATAATCTTACTATAAAAATTGTGTTAAAGAAAATCTAAGTTATACGTATCTTCATTAAAGAATCTTCCTCTAATCCGTGTGATAGTAGTTTTAACTCTTTATTTGAATTTTCAATGAAGAGTCTTTCTATTATGACCAAGTGATACTAGCTTTTAATTCTTTAAAGAAGACTTTGTTTCCACCTTGCCAATTCAAATGATTATGTAATAATGTATAAAATTTGTATAAAAGATTTGATATTAATAATTAGCGCCAAGTTATAATCCTATAAACATTGAGCTAAAAGTTCAATTCCACCTTATATATTTCAAATTATATATTTCATTTGTACCAAAAATTTAATATACCATTATTTTTAAAAAAGAAACTCAAGTGGTAGTATCATTATTTAAAACTAATAAAAACCAAATATGTATATCTTGTCTATCTATACTCATTCAAGACTCTTTCTTTTCTAATCCAAGTGGTAGTAATTATTTAGCTTTAAAATATTATTATATCACAAAATTGTTTTACTCAATTTAAGTTTTTATCACAAAGAATCAGGAGACACGGTAGTGTCTCGGGTGTCAAGTCAACCGAGAACACTGCCGTGTGACTTTACGCGAGTCGTCGAGATTCGAGCATCTGAAATTATCGAATCTCAATAATGGCTATACTGATCAAGTTCTAAGTAGGCTTGATCGATAGCTTGAGTCCGACTTGCATAATAAATTTTTATTTTTCTGCTACGTGCCCTACAAGTAGAAATATTGCTACACAAAGTCCGATTTGGAAATTTTTACTTTAAGAAACGTTATTATCGTCGCCTTTGTACGGCTGCAACGTCTGTCACGAGATATCATTATTAATCTTATCGACCCAGCGGATTATCAGACTGATAAGTCAGGGTTATGTCAGGGTATGTAGAATCTAGCGAATCAATTTTCGCTGGGTCCTGCAGTGACCCTGATTTATCGGCCTGATTTATCCGCTGGATCGATAAAATTGATTGATGTAAACACGGTAGTGTTTTTGGTTAGACCTCTCGGGTATCAATATAATAATAAATACGCGTATATTAAAATTAAAAAGGAAACATTAGCAGTATTAATAAATTGCATACTACTATTATTCTTTTTCTGCACGTCCGAGTGGTAGCCAACGATGTTGACGTTCGCGGCGAGTTTGATTTTGTAATAATTTCGGAGTGTAACTCATGTTTGTGTCTATACTTTACAGGTAAGTTTTATTTTTCATTTTATCAGAGAACAAAGATATTATTCTTTTATTCAATCTTATCTACATACTCTTATTACGTCACTCTAGAAAGATCAGTTCTAAATCGAATAAAAATGAAAATTTGTCAATTAAAAAAATAACATATTTAGAGAACTATACATATATTATAATTTTGA